CTCCTGCTGATTGCGTCATTGTTGATTGTACGTTTTCTTAATTCATGATGCTTACTAATCCGTTTGTCTGTAGAACCAGTTCCTGTCAGTCTTCAAGATATCATCTGCTGCCCCACGTCTGTCTGCTCCTATTGACTACTGGCCACGAACTGCGTATAATCTAATAGTCGCAATCGTCCTGTGAGATCCTTAACCGTCTGGATCTTACACCCGGTGTTCGCATAGCCTGTGACAAAAGCCTGGTCGATGTGGAATATGCAGACGACATGGTTCTCGTCTTCAAATCGCAATAGGCGCAGCTATTTTTGGATGACTGAAGTTATCTTGTCCTTTGGTATGCACTTTGCACCAACAAAGTGTAAGGTCATGCTTGCGGACACACAGTCACTGAACACTCCACTTAAAATCCAGGAGGAGAGACTTAATGTTGTGGGGCGTTTTGCTTTCCTTAGAGATCGATTAACTTCGATTTTATGGTGACAGATGAGGACAATGCACAAATTTCAGAGGCCCGGGTCGCGTTTGATAATCTTAAGTACCTGTGGCGTCAAAGCGGTATATCCCCGAATCTCAAGGGCCGCAGGTATCAGGCTACAGTGCAAGCTGATCTGTTGTATGACTATGGGAATTTCCGTGTTCGAGCAGCGGGACTGAGACGTCTTTAATTGCTCGACAGTCGTTGTCCCAAGACTGTAGCTCGTGTGAGTAAGTGTTGGTGAATCCATAACGGGGCAATTAGAAGGCGAGCTTTCCGTTGTGCAGCGGTGACTTCAATGTGTCCAGCACTCGACGTTGCGTTGTTTGGGCCATGTATTAATTGTGCCTAGCTATCGTTTGCCGAAGAGGTTGCTATTTTTCGTGTCCAATTCAGAGTGGCGGAAGCAGAGAGGTGACCAGCCTTGGAGCTGGAAGAGGGGCATGAAGGTGATTGCGAAAGGTTTTGGTGCAGTCGGAGCTAATCGTCTTCCAGGATGAGGACTGTGCGATCCTCATTTTGCCTGGTTGGAGTGACTAGAGATATAGCCAACTCCGAATGATTGTTGTAGACTTGCACTAAGTCCCTTTCCTGTCCACCTTTATAATTTTCTTCACAACAAGGCTTTCGAATAAACCATGGTTGTACGGGAGCGAGGCATTAGTGATGAAGACTGATGTTTTGCTGTCCATGATGATAACCATGAAGCTTTTCGCTAGTCGTGTAATTGTCAGGTGGGGAACAGAAACGGTACTTTTTAATGACTAATCGGATGAACTAACCTTATTTTTTCATAAAGGAAACTACTCACAAGGTTGCTGAAAACTCTTCGACAGCCCACGACCGGTTTTGCTCTTCTTGGGCCGTATGACAAACAAAGCGAACAAACCGCACTTATCCCCTGGATTTTTGAAATTTCTTTTCTCGTTAAGAAAATTAGTATAACCCCTAGGTGTAACTTTGCTGTTTGATATTACGAATTTCTGGACAAGGTCCTTTGCCTAAGGTTCCTCATGTGAATCTCAGCAGTAATGTTCCCTGATGCACTTGTATCACGAATGACTCGCATATTCCGCCTCTGGAAAGCGATCGCCTCTGAGGTCAGTCTTCTACCCTAATATGCAACTGCCTATGAAATGTGTTAACATCTACTCACCTAGCAGCATTTTGCCTTTTTCTCCTCTTCATTATCCTCCCTTTTGCAGGGACGCATTGTTAATCGGTTCTCTGCGGATATCGCCACCCTCGACCATCCCCTGTTGAATTCTATGAGAAGTTGTTTTGGTTGTATGCTTCAGTGCTTGAATACAGTATTGCTTACTACCAGCGTCAGCCCGTGGATTATCATCCCAATGGCTTGTCTGACTGCAGTGTACTGTTTACTCCAGGTATGGATGTTTGCATTTAGGCACCCTAGTGATTCATATCCGTGCTACTGCAATTCCGCTCACTCATCTTGCTTGCATGCATGCCCGGTTTTTTCTACCATCCCCTACTTCTCTGCCTGCAGTTTTTTTCATCTAATGCCATTTTTCCTCGTTGCATGAGCTGGTTATTGCGCCAGCGAACAAAACAAACTGATAGGCTATTGGAGCGCTTCCCCAAGGTCGCATGAATCACTGCACTCTTCCCCAGATCTTGCTGTCAACTAGATACTTTTAAAAAGTTGGGTTCAACGTGCATTCATATTTGTCGTTGGTTTTTGCTAGCTTTCCTAAAGCTCCCACATTACCACTGCATAAGGTGAACCTACCCCGGATTGTGTACACTGGTTTGTCGTGTGATGAAACCCATATTGTTGAGTGAATTGCTGCAGGTCCTTTATTTCACCAATCGGTAAAGCAGAAAAAAATGTCGTCAGCTTCTGAGAAATGGTGAGAGTATAAGTAGCCGTTTTAGTGGCAGCTTTACTGCACAGTTTGTTACCGCTCCACTTGTTCAACACAGAGAACAGGGGCGGGTGATGATCGGTCTTCATCATCACAGTCCTCTGTTTGGGCGAAACAGACTGCATTTACTGTGCGCTCATATAATGTACCAACTAGATATTTCGGGGAGCGATCAAATGCTTGAGTACTGTGTAGATCCTTCAGTGCGACCCACTTGCCATGTTTTAGAGCTCTGCAGGCATCTGTTCTAGGTAGTCAAACTTCCCATTGGCCAGTGCCCAATTTCATTGTACCGCAAATGCGCTGTAGTTGGATTAGGATGAGGATAGGCAGTAAACGCTATGCAGTTTTCTAATCTGATTGGCATTTCTATGTAGTTCACAGTGTGATTAAATGGGAAATCCAGTGTTCAAGAATAGCCGTTCGTCCACGCTTGGGTTTAACCAAAAATACGTGTTTGAAATATCGCCATGAGCCATCACAATTTGATAGTAATGCAGCGCCCACTGCGATTTTTGAGCGAAAAAAGAAGCTGGATAAGGCACAACTGAGGAACAACACAGTTCAGTGAGATAAACCGACTCACAGAGCGCTGAGCCGTCAATTCCATTAGTGGGTAACACACGATGCAACATGAATGGAGCAGTTCGCTCAATCTTGATCGACCAAAATCATCATTTGAAGCCCCAGTTCCCTATATAGATAACAAAATTCACCGATTCATTTTCACATGCTGCTTATGCTTCTTGGTCTGGAAGCGAATCGGACCACAATGCCACTTGACTGTACTTCATCTTAGTACAAGCCCAATTTTCATCCATTTTGTTCTAGCTGTACCAGTGTTGCATGGTCTCACCTTCATTATGTCCCGCACAACATAAGGTATATCGCTAGGCGTCACCGAAATTTTTGTCTACCTGCTAGTGGTCTTCACAACAAACGGGTTTGTCCGACTGCTGTCATTTGAATCCCAATTTTCGGTCACACCACCCATGCCATTGTATCTTTAGTCAGTTGGACACTTGTAAGACGTACTAGTAAGAATTTTTGTCTTAGTTTATTCCAGTCGAACTGTAGTTCGTGTTGTGTTGGTGAACAACATGGACAGTTTGGACTTAGTTAGCTATCTCCTTGTCAGCCATAGTTTTCCAACTGGAAATGTATAGTGTAGTTCTAATGTCCACATACACGCCCGTGTTCCACAGGCTAACTGAAGGCTGTAAGTTTCGTTCATCACATGGTCTCATTCATCCTTACCGTCATTTCCTTTTCTACGTTAAGAATGTTTACGTGACAAACTCACGACAACTGAAGCGGATCGAGTCTGTCTACCGGTCACCCATTTTCTCGCACTTTTCCGAAACCCTGCTTGGGGCGGATAACATACGAGCCTACGGCCGAACAGAAGACTACAACAAAATCAATTCTAGTCGACTTGATACGGGAAATGCAGCTTCCTATTTCAACTTGATTGCACAAAGGTGGGTGTTTGAAAAAACCGAGATTTCCGCCTCCAACGTGGCGGGATCTTGAAAGTTAGGTACTTTGGGACACTTGTATTTTGCTGAGGTGGCCGAATACCATCGAGTCTACTATTTTCCGTGTATTTGACTAATGGTCAGCCGAATGTTATATCTAAGACTAGAAACAAAATACCCGAAAACCGACTTTTGAGTTTCATGAACACACCAACTACTAACGAATGCTCATAAGCTAACGGCATTGCATAACATTGATAGATATAATAAATGATAACGATGTGATGGATTCCCGGGACGGGTCAGAAATTCTAGCTCCATGAATATATTTCACTGAAGAGGCATCTTAAGGTAGTTGGATTATGTGAAATCAGGTAATGGCAGTATGTGGTAAGGAATTAGAGACCTGAATTTCCGTTACACTTCAAACTTTGTTATCTTATTTGACATCTTCAAGAGTGTTTCATTGTAAGGAGGTGTGCTGTTATTGTCATGACCCGGTGGCACAAAACTGGGTCCTCTTTTTGGAAGTTCACCGAATAGTGCCTTAGCTAATTTCTCGCTGGCGGCATTTATTTGGTAAGGTTGTTTTGTCACCACTTCTGTCGTGGGCGGTAATTTTAGTGTTAGCTTTGAATTTCATTTCAAGTTCACTTACTGTGTTGCTTGTTTAAGTGAGGATCGGGTGAATATCGATTGTAAACAGAACAAAAATCAGTACTTGAGGCGTTGTTTTCATTTTAGGGACTTCGGAACAATTGTGTTTATGACGTCTGGCAAGCCGCATAGGGTGTTTATATCGGATTCGCGACAACTTATACCGGTGTATGACGTCTTAGGTCTTTCATCGCATTTGTAGCAACAGAAAAGCTGCTCATCCAGTTCCACTTCACTTTTTCGACTTTTACTCATGTAGCAGATTGTAGCTATCAGCTCCATCTATTCGGTTTGTCTGTATCAATCTTCAATGGGTACATATCAGTGCCGTCTCGATTTGTCTGGTTACCGAGTTGCTAATTATAATAGGTACGCTTCCAGCTATAACACTCTTTAAGTGCTTAGCTGCCGTGCCACCCGAAGGAAGCTCGAGGGCTGCGATACTGTCAGGTTGTCCAAGCCTAGACGGGGGAAGTCGAGATGCACAGGTCGGGTTCTAGCCACGAACCTTCCACTTAATAAGTTCGCGCTTCAACCCCTGGGTCTCCACCGTAATGATATGGGTTTCCGTGTAAACCGGTTACCATCTGTGTGGACTAAGAGGACTAAATTATGCAGAGTCGTTGCTGATGCGCGGAAATAGACAGAACTTTTTATGTCAGGAACAAGAATACATTTGTCCTCAAAGTCTTCCCAAGTTGAAAAACCCTTTCTGTTGGTTGCCAATGTGGTCGCACTCCACATGCCTCTCAAATAGAATTACGTCCGAATTCTAAGCCCAGTTCGCTACAACAAGTGAATAAGGGTGTTTGACTGTAGCTACGACGGTTTCAGAGATAGGAAAATCAGTTATGGTCAAGCAAGAAGGCAACCTACATCAGAGGTGATTCGAACGTGTGAACTATGGTAATCCGTATGTATCACTCAGGAATAAGTATTCAGTCAGAATCTGTATGCTTTTTAGAAGACAAGTGCATGTGGCATTTTCACAGTAAAATGTCCACATTTTTCGCCCGAAAAACTTTCTAAGAGGATGCGTTCCATCCAGGGGATAACCTAAGCGGCGCACACTGTTCCTCATTGCAAACATCCCTTCCAGAAGCAAAGAAGAGGCGCTGTCTGATTATCCGACTTGCTCACTTACCCTAGAAGGAGTAAATCAACGAAGGAACCACCATAAGCCATTGAGGCAGATTTGTTACTCAACTGTCGTATTCCGCCGCATCAACCAAGCCTTTTTGACTTACCCCGATCAATGAGTTAACCAAATTAATTTTCCCATAATACTTTCAGCCTCCGTCACATCTGCAATACACTCTGAGGCTGGATAATGCAACACACGGAGTCTCGGAATCTACCTACCAACAAATTACTGTCATTTTTGTTATGGCAAAGTATAGTTTCCCGATAAATTTTTCTGTATCTGATCTAACCTGTTTACGTAATAAAAATGTGCCCACTGAAAACCAGTAGGCAAATCCAATATCTCGCACTAGTATCTCACCCAAACCCGTAAGAACATTCAATTCGTGTAGCATTTGTCTCAGATCAAATGAAACACTTCATCACATACCCGAAAAAAACTTTTTGAGACACCTAGATACGAGCAGAATTTCACCACATCAATGCAAGATATTCACAGCACTGTTTTTACCAGCGGTTAGTCCCCTGAAAACATATCCTAATTAAGGGTAACTTTTGAAACTCCATTAGACGGTCCCTCTGGGGACGAAATACTTTCTCGGAAATGGTATACGACAGTGCTACTTGGTTTGTTAAAGAAACAGAGAGGAATAAAACGAACCCATTTATGCTCGGTCTGGCTGTTGGTTACTCAGTTCAGTTATAACCAAATGTAAGTGTTCACCCTCAACAGAAACTCATGCAAACACCATGTATACGTAGTCTCACTGCAACTTAGCTACATCCAATGTGAAAAATACAAGAAATAGCTTGGACCAAGCTGCAGGACCAGCTAGCCGGGTCGTGTCAACAGCTACCAGGTGGGACGTTTTCTCCGGGTTTTGATTTTGCACGTGAGTTACCCTCTTCACTGACCTTTATTTTTATTTCTAGGTGGCTGGCCGTTCTGCTGGAGACCATTGGCAACCTTATAATCTTTTCTGTGGCTTTGTTCAGCGTGATCACCCGGGATCATCTGTCTGCCGGTTTATCTGGGCTGGTGATCAGCTATGCAATCAATTTGAACCAAACTTTGAACTGGTTTGTCAGAATGACAGCAGACCTGGAAAACGATATAGTTTGCGTGGAACGTATAAACGAATACGCAAACATCGAGCAAGAAGTAAGCAGCGCTTCATCCTCTGACTTCATTGCGGCGCTTGAATATTTGTTTTCCAATTCTATCTTGGTTACAGTAAAAGCGATATCAGCAACGTCTGTCCTTTCATTTAGTTCATCCAAAAGTAACAGCAATTGAATTTTCCAAATGTATACTGACCACAATACCAGAGTTCCGCCTTACTGGTCATTTAGGTCCCCCTAAATGAAGACGGCCTCATTATAAGTGATTGGTTTCTTCAGTGAACTATACTATATAAGCGATGTTTGGACGAAGGTCTTATGACCCCACAGAGTTTGAACCTTCAGCAAAATAAACCTTGGTTAGGGACGTTGCAAGAAATGGCGGCTGGGGGCGTTCACGTTGTCAGTTTCTTTCCAGATTGCCTGACTGAGCAGTTGGAGGTGTAGGCATCTCAGAATGCTTGACATAGACCAGCACTAGGTCCCCTCCCTCGCCCACTCTTTTTCTCTTCTTTTTACCCTAGGGCTTTTAATATAATAACATATACATATATATCTATAGCTAGACGAACCTTATGGTTGTACGGCAGTGAAGTATCAGTGTCACACTGATGTTACTGTTTGATGATGATGATGATGATGATCACTACAGGTTCCAGGTGACGCCACCTAACCTGGTGCACCGTGGCTTATCTTTTGGTCCGGCTCCGGTTCCTGACCAATGAGCAGTACATCTCTCTGAACAATACGGGTGAATAGCCATTATAAACATAAAATTTATTCAGGTGTTTGTGGACAGAAGAGGGGCGCTAAAGTAGATGAATCACAACTTCCGGAAGTTGGCGGTACCAATTCAGCAAAGCGGTACGGGTTTTTTTAGTGGAAATGTACAGGTAGATGTCTCAGAACTGATAGAAAAAAGACGGTAGTAGGCTAAGTTGAATAGTTCTTAAAGGAATTGGTTTTGTGAAAAAAACAGGAACACGATGTTGCAGTAAGTGACGCAACAGACTGTTTGTGACTTATTTGTTTCGCTTAAATCAGAAACGACTGGAGCCTGTGAAGTTATAAGTCAGCTTTTTATAGCAAAGGCCTGAAACTAAATGCCCATATGTATGGATATGCACCAGCATATGATTATTAGGTAGATCTTCAAACGAATACATTTCACTCCTCCCATTTACTCCAGTGAGAGAGGATGTCAGTTAATCAGGTCAGACTTCAAACAAGGCTTGGAAGTCTGATACAAATGCGATGTTAAGAAAATTTTGACACAGTGCAACTTCACAACATCTATGCAAAGGTTTTATTGCTCTGATAGCTTGTTGGAGGGGATTTGGAAGATTGAATTTCGCAAACCTAAAGATGATAATGTAATCAGTTCCTCGTAAAGATGCAGACTGTCTAACACGGAATTCGGATGACATAAAGTAAGGTGAATGGTGAAAGAACTAAGCATATATGCCGACTAGCCTTCTCGGTCTCTTTGATCTGTTTACGCGTAACAAGATAGCCGTAAAATTTAGTGAAGTCTAATGGATTAGTTGCATTTCCGAATAAACCTGGGCTAGACTACAATCATCTAGGCACGAATTGAGGGTTTTGTGCTAGTACTCGAAATGTGAAAAAAAACCACCATCCTTTTATATCGTCAATATTTCTCCATAGACGCTATTAATGGTATGTTTCTGTTCCGCTTTCTGTTCTGCTCTATTCCCCATAAACAGCGTGACTTGAGTCAGTTCATCACAACAAAACGGTCGAAAAGATTGAATTGATTAACCACTTCTGAACGCATTTTTTCAGCCTAGACGGAAATTTTAAAGCTGTTTTTAGCAACCTAACGTTGAACCATTCGCACCGGGAAAACCTGGTTACTGAAACACATGATGGATCCTATGGTTGGTTTCCTGTGTGTTCTAATAAACCTGCCCATTGGTAATTGAACGCTACAAAACACAAGGATACCATTAGCACAGTGAATAAGTGGTGAAATTCCATAACAATGAGACAACAGCGCATTGTCGACAGCACAGTGTTGTCCTGGTTAAATAAGGCAACGACAGTTGTTTACTAGCGGAGTCCTGCAGACGGTTGCCTCATTGGCTGCCATTTTCTGTGAACTAACTTCAGCTGGAATTGTTTGGCAACTTTTTTTGAATTGTCCCACAATTGTTTTGTCCTGTTCTACGTTTCAAGCTGGTCTAAGACTGATAGAGTGGTTATCTACAGTAACCTGTGGCCTTTATTTAGAACTTCCCTCATCGATCTCAGGATAACACATTTTACCAAACACGCAACTCGTTACTGTTTCCCATATGTGCCGAAATAGACGGGCTGTGGCTGACATGTTTTTAGCGCAGGGAAAATTTAAAAAATCGTTCAACACAGATGCTGCGTTCCCAAATACCTTGAAATCAGTCTTCTAAACCAGAGGCGAAAATGTTTATTGCACGTGGCTTTGTAAGCGTATGACGACGGAAGAGCAGGTGAGCAGTTCATCGCCCGTGCTGTTTTCTTAACGATACAAGGATGGTCCTGAAAGGGCTGATCCTATTTGAAGGCCTTCAAAGGTTAACCCCTACGTTCTAGTTAGGACATCCAGATCTAACCCCTTTTTGAGGACAGAAGAGACGGTAGATATCTGCCGATTTTCTAGCAGTTCTGTCGCCCTTCCGTTGCTCCACAAGTGCTTTGCCACATTATGAGCGGGCTTTTTCTCCAACTGAGACATGTCGGGAAACAAGTCAGAGCGAGGTACTATGTCTTTGAAAAGTTTGATGCCATTTTTGACTTCCCCTTCCGCTTGAATTGAGCAGTTCATTTCCTTCTGTAGAGCCGGTGGACATTTGAAACCAATCAAGTTGTTCTCCAGGGTACTCCACCCACTGAAGCGTATGTTAGGATCTAAAATTGGTTTTGGAGCCGTTTTTCTGTAATGATTTCACTTTCCGGTAATTTAAAGCCGCCGAGATAAGTTAAAAAGGAATTTAACCGGTTCCTGTCGCCCTCATTTCTTGAACTTCCCCTGACTACTCTTAGTCATCCTTGAGACTGCGAGTCAGTCGTCGTTTCATCTTGCTACCAAATCGTGTTGTCCACTCAGTGGTATCGGTTTCCCTGCGTCGATCAAAGAAGTATATCGCTGTGAGTTCCAACTCTAATCGGACCGTGGCCACTGAACCGCTGTTGTAGACAGAAGTCTTTATAAGTGATCTTTTATAACTAGTAACTATGTGGTCATTGTTAGTCCTGGAGTAGTTAGTAGTTGTGGAGAGAGTCAGGTAACAATGTGATCGTAGTTGTGTTGAAAGCGTGTTCGTGTATAAAGTGTATGAAGAACTCATTGTTATCGAGTTTGGGGAGACTACACCGAAACCGCAACCGGGATGGTTTTCATGCTTATCGATTTCTCCCAATTAGACTTCTGAATCGGCAGTTAGAATAGTGATATTTGTGCGTCGAAAGGAGCCTGTCTGTGTTGTTAGCTGTGGATTCTGATGGTGTCTGCCAGCCTGATTGCACAAAGACCGTCGTTCAAAATCCTTTAAGCGAGCAGAAAATCTTCAGCTCTCGTACTCAACGCAATATTCTTCCTTCACGTTAATTTTTTCAGGCTGAGTGGGAGATACCTGATCGAAAGCCTTCTGCTAACTGGCCAGCTGGTCGGGTTGAATTTATCAACTACAGTACCCGGTATCGATCCGATTTGGACTTAGTACTTAATTCGATCAACCTTACCATCAACCCCGGTGAACGTGTAAGTCGCTCAAACCCGCCTTTCTGGATGTGTTTTCTTTATGACTACCTCAGTCTTCGACTGCTGTGCACTTCCCCTATCATCTTTACAAGCATGTTCAGTGTTAACAGCCGGTGCTTTACCGCTGCATAATTAAAAAAGGCTCCAAAAGGCCCATCAAAATTGTCAAGAGAATTTTGTTAGATTACAACAATCTCATGCTTCATGCACCTTCAAAACGTGTGAAGGTGAACTTGTTAGAAAGCAACGTACGAGAATTCAATGACGTTGTTCTGCAGCAACCTATCGATTGTTTCTAGATATGCGAAGAGGTGGCATATAGGTGAGATGCTAGTCAACTGACTAGTCAAAAAGGGCATTCCCCTTCAAAATATTACTCACGAATGTTTCCTGGAACACCTAGTGCTTTCCCAATTCCTAGTCCGGACAATCACACAGAGTTGTGTTGATGCCATGCTTAGCTAAGCAATGGTGCAACACCTTGCGATGGGTGAAATGATAAATATTGGATAATCAGTGTAGATTACAGCACAGACATGCTATAAAGAGAGAACTTTTTCTCCAAGGCTAGTCAAAAGCAAGCACCTTCCATCACACCTTTACAGGGTTTGCTGTCAATAGGTAGGCCACGTCCACCTATCTGGAGAGTCCACTAATTTGATCTTGGAGAAGCGACTTCGTCCCACGGAAGGTTATGGACCTCGCAGCCGAGGATCGTGCGGCAAGGAGCACACTTCACGGGCAAATGACATTCCGAACGTCGTAATTTCTGGACGCGAGTGAATGCATCATTGGTTCCAAAAAGTTTTCAAAATGTGGTCGGACTAAATCACGAGACGAGGATTCGAACTGAAGACCCTAGCTTTACTACCCGTTAAATGTTGTATACCCTAACATTGCAAAGAATGAAGTCATGAAAGATTTCCTCCTCCCCAATGTCTCCTTTTTGAGTTTCCCATTTGCTCATTGTCAAATTTGCATTGGAGCCATTTGTAATGTTTATGCATCACCTACTGGCCTTATGCACCAACAATTATAAGCTGGTGTAGCAGAATAATAGTAGGTAATTCGAGAAATACACTCATTTGCAAACCAATTTGGTTTTCACGAGAGACTCGATTGAATCTCTCGTTTATGATGTCCGAAGATGAGCCCCAAGAAGGGCGAAACCGGTCGTGGACTCTCGAGGAGTTTTCAGCAACCTCGTGAGTAGTTTCCCTTATGAACATGATAAGTAATGTTTCAATGCATAGAGAATTTCAGATGCTCTGCTTTTCAAATATTTAATGGCCAAAATATTTTTAAGATGTCGTTCCGGGAGAGGTGAGTGAAGCATGTGATACTGAAAATGGAGCTAACGCCATGATTTTTGGCAATCTAGATCTCGGGTGCCAAACGTTTCAGGAGTTTCTGATTGGATTGTAACAGTTATTGCACGCACATATGATTGGGGATTCCGGTGAGATGTTCTGGAAGAATAAAAAAAATACAAACTAGTGGGAACAAAGGATTGTGGTAACAGAAGCCTTTTAGAGTATCAATTAGCTAGTTTTGGGGGCGAAACCAACGATCATGATTAAGATAAGGTTTTTTGTAGAATGCGTTGTATCCTGTCTATTTTGGGCAACCGATTTTCGATGGGAAAGGGGAAATTTCATGCACAACACCCATATCAGCTGGTATAGTAAGGTTGGATTCCATCTACCATTCAATAAAAGCTTAGGAGGCCAAAACAACTCTCCACATGGTTACCGCTCTGTGAGTGCGATAACTAAAGTCTGTTTTCACTCTTTCACAACAACTCATTTGTTTCTAACTTATCCGTATGCGACACCATCTTTTCTGAGTATTATATCCCTTATTTCAGGTGGGAATTGCTGGAAGAACCGGTTCGGGGAAATCGTCTCTTGTGATGGGTTTGTTCCGCATGCTCGAGGCAGCTGAAGGCCGGATAATCATTGACGGAATAGACATATCCGAAATCGGTTTGCATGACTTGCGCCGGAGGTTGACACTGATACCTCAGGTAGGTATTTTGTTTATTGTTCTGTGACTGCTTAAATGGAATGGCCAACTAGACTATTGTAGCATCCACGTTCTCATGAACGTAGGAAGGCTGTTCGATACACGGCCTACACTATACTGACATGCTTGACCATGCTTACAAAGCTGTATAGCAATTTTTTATTATGAACCATAAATCCCAATCATCCAAGATGTTGAATAGGGAGTTTGCTAATAAGGTAGCGTAGATGATTGTTGGTTTGCTCGCTGAGCTGGACAATTTGGTTGCAAGCGTTTCATCGTCAATCAAGGTGGCACCACCAGTGTGTTGTTAGCGAGCGTAGTGGAAAATAGCGATGGCTTAGTGGTCGGTAGCATAAACACAATTTTTACGCTTCATTGGGCTCCCTAACAACGCAATGATGATGTCACTTCGACTGTCGATCAAACGTTTGCAATCAAGTTGCTCAGTTCAGCGAACAAACCAACGACCAACAAGAAGTTCATTTGTAACCTAATATTGATGTGCTCAAATTTTGAGCATAGCACTCGTCTTGTGTTTTCTGTATTCCCTAGTCGGTAAGGCAGATAAACAACATCTATAAAACCATATACCATGAGCGTTATTTGATGATTAGTAATCCCCACATTGTCATAATATAGAAGAATTTCTATCGGTGAGTCACCTCCTAAGTATCATGGCTATTCCGTCCCACCTACACATCCTTATGCTCTATCTAATACATTGAATAATTTCATATGCGTCATGCAAACAAAAGTAACACAGGCTCTTCCCACTTTCTTATCTTTATTTTTTTATTTATGCACACCTGTTGCCATCAATTTGTGTTTCTGAAGCAAACGAATTCACCAAAACCACATGATATCTTCTTCGTTAGAGGAATCCATAGGTTTCCGCCATACTTAATACCTCTCCAAACAACCTATGCTTACCGTGTAAGGTTGTGAGCTAATAAATCCAAGTCACATTGTTTTCTACTGCGAGCCGTCTGATTCGGACAGCAAGTCAGTGTTAGACTAACATCAACACGAGTTGAGAACACTGAAGCTTCACAGCTCAGTAGCTATGTGAGTTTCTTTAAATAGAGCTGTGTTATGAAATGACAACCAATCCCAAATTATCGGTGCGCTTTCCATTGGTGTTTGTTGGCAATCACACATTTCAATTATGGAAGACAGATTGTGTCTTTTGTAGCGGTAAATCATCTTACCCTGCCATTTAGCCTTCTGCCTGCGAAATTTTGAGATTGTTTCTGACCATCGAACATTTGCCACTGTCCGCTTTGGCTCATTGCCGTTCGTCACGTAACTCTTCCTCACATTTCGGGTGGTCCTTTAACACTCTTTGAACGTAACGAGACTCAGTCAACCCTAAAACCTTAAAGTTGTGTCCACTTGTTGATTTGAACAGGGATTGAGTGAAAAGACTAGGGAAGCAATTGAGGCAATATGTAATTCATTGGAAGATTTACAGGAAATTCACCATGGAGACAGCATAGGAGTCCACTCATCTTCAACCCCGAACTAACTGCCGTATTGTAGACTACATGAACACATGAAACATTTGGTCCCGTCCATCTATCGCACCAGCGCGGCTATAAGACATGTCATGAGATTTCAACAGTTACTTCTCTCTCGTCAGCAGCCAGACAGAAACAACTTAAAAAGAGTTTGACAGCGGAGCTGAGTGGACAGGATTTCACATACCAAAGCTAATGTTGCTTAATCAGGACCGCGACAACTAGACGAACTGCTTCAAAACCTTTTGTATTCGCAACTCCCTGGTGGACCTTGATCAACAGAGCCTGAATTATAAACGTAAGGTTCTGTTCGCAAAGCTGAATTCCGATCTCTTCCGTCACCGGTTCGTAGCAAGCGTTGACAACAAGCAACCCAGTTTCCGACTTGAGTTCAATGTTTAAACGACATTTGGAGGACTGCGGAATGCCCTCCATCTGCAGCCCAAGCACCGCAACTGTTCAAGCCCAACGGATGTTATGGAAACGTTCATAATGGCCTTAGGGCTCGATGTCTTTTTAAAAAATGATTCTTCCTTCGACTTGCTCGGTCTGAAAATGAGTCGTGTACTTCTGTGTACTTCCGAAGGAACGAGCGTCTTGCCTATTAATAAGAATGTCCAAAACATGAACTGTCTTGTGACTCATATCTGCAAGATACATGTAATTTTACCCGTATCGAGTTAAACGTGGCCTTTGTGCTGGAAATTTTGAGGAATGTGTAGGAAAGCTTGTAAATTACCCTGAAAGCTTTTCCTCACCATTTGAAAAGACACCATCACTATGCGTATCATTAGCCTGGAAGCTATGACGAAGCACCGTGCTTCAGTCCTTCCTGGTATCATCCTATGCAGACTGATACATTCTGTTTCGCGATGGTCATAGTGGGTTTGGCCTTTGGCAACGTTGGACGCACAACTTTTGCGGTTTGCATGAGGAGTCTGGACCATGCCGCTGCTTTCAACAAGCAATTGTCGTTTTTCTGGATCTGGAGACCCCTTTGACCTGACAATTTCAAGTACGCCAGCAATTTTTTAATGTATACTCTGAGAGTACTACGCGCGAACGTCCTCGGTCGGAGCCTACTACATTTAGTGATGTCAATCAAAACGTCTTTCTATCCCCCGTTCTTCTCAACTTCGCAGTCGCTGTGGTACGTGAACCCTTTCCTACTTACCGGAGCTGGAGCGTCCAGTAGGATGACCAACGACGCTGTCATCCTGGTATCCGGTCCTTCGAAGTTGCTGCTAATTATGGACAAGCTAACGGAATCCGCCAAATATCAAGGTCTACGCTTCAAGCCTAAAGAGTCGAGAATACTACTGCAAGACAGGGTGGATCCATACCCAAACGATATGTGGTCGGAGGATGGTCCATTTAATCAGCCAAGCTAGTTTCATTCACTTGGCAAAAGAGCGATTGTCTTCAAGCGCGAAATGTTAGGGTGACTCTTGTTGCACCTCAGTGAGAAGTTATTTCGCCAAGTCAGAGCCCGTACAACTAAGAGGGCTAAATAATATGTTGTAGGCCAGAAACATGATCTTTGCGTCTTTAGCAATTAAATACTGATGTTTTCTGGGTGTTGTTTGGGTATGATAGAAACACCGGATCAGTAACAATGAAGGTTACTGCATGGTTTACTAAAAAGCCACTCACCTTTGATAGAGGAGTTAACTGCACTTCAGTCGCCACATAAATGACTTTTTACCAATTGACTTTACTCATCTACCCACAGGGAAGTTATCGGAGACTGAGTAACGAGGCACAAATGAGTTATTTAGAAGAACGATATTTCTTCTGACAGTGACTTCGCCCGAAACTTCAGTTCTTTGAAAGCTTCATGCAATTGTGATCCTACTCATTGTGTGTAGGAACCCCTTACCAACAGCACTCTAGATCCCAGTCTTGTCCATAGCTTATCGTTTCGCAAATTATGTTGACCGCCTTGGGTTTTTATATTACATGGACTGAATTCAAAAACACTTTCTATCGCCCTTCTCCACCCTCAGGATCCCGTTCTATTTTCGGGCACGCTACGTTTCAACCTGGATCCATTCAAAACGCACACCGATGCAGAACTGTGGAATGCACTGGAGCATGCTAATCTGAAACCATTTGTCGTAGAGGCTAGTGGTGGTTTGGGGCTGGACATGATCATCTCAGAAGGAGGAGCAAACATCAGGTATGTACTTATCTTGGGATGGCCCTTGGTTAAGATGGGAATTTACTGACTGGATGGTCCGTTGTTCCAACCAAACCCCGGCATATCAACTGCTCCTATCTTGGCTCCAGCAACCTGGCAGTAAATCAACACTTGTATCTCCTTCAAACGACATGGAGTTTTGACGCCAAAAGGGTATTACAGCTAAACGAATAGTAAATATGTCCTAGTCATACGAATACGCGACCGCTTACCACATTCACTGTTAATTGTCGCAGATTTGAACTGTCGTTGCGGTTGGGCTGCAGTGCTGTCTCATCATTTGCTAGGACCGTTTTTCAGTTTTGATCGCGCGAGCTTTGGAGCACAGTCGTGAAAAAATGTTTACCCACATGCCTTGACACTAATTCCATCAGTCTCAAATGACAATTTACTAGTAAAAGTGATTTGGACTGTGTCGGTAAATTTCCTTAATCTTTTCATAATACCTATTAGAAAAATACTGCACTATATTGAATACCGGTCAAACTGGAGTGTGGAAGAAATAGGACAAGAGCTCATTTAAGCCTTGTTTGGATCTCACATTGATACTCATTCAGTTTACTAATGAATTCATGTGTTCGCAGTTGCTCACTCTCAGAGTAGATTGCTCAACCGTGAGATTTTCAAACTGCTGACTCCCTACTGAGCCCAAAATGATCACTAGTGTTCGTCAACACAAAACATCATTTAAGCCCCGAACTTTTCTGAATTTATGCAAAATTAACTCGCTTGTCTGTGGGGACGACAGGGTTTCGAAAAACGTATTGGACATTTTATCGACGCGGTGTGCTTGTTCTGTGCCCGGACAAGACACTGCGTCCAAGATGTCGTGAAATGCTAAAGAAAGCGTGTGAGACATTGTTTTAAATGACTTTATCCATCTTGTGTTCGTGTTGGTCTGGGCAATCAAACCAAGCGGGTGACTATAAGAGTGCGGAAGAGGGATTCAATCCTGAGCTTAACGCGACGATGGTGCTGATACTGCCTCCTACATTGGTTCGTATTTGTTCCCCACAAGTACTGACCCATCCATTCCACTTATTCAAAGGGGGAATTTTATTCTGGCTCAAGCACAATTTACGTTGTTGAATCCATTGGCGAAATACCATCCCATCTAAAAAAGGACTGAATAATTGACAATTTATCCCTTACCTTTTTTACTGGGCTACTACGATGTTTCGGAAATCAAGAAACTTGGACATAACCTGAAGTCCTTATTGAATTTTTCCAGCCTTGACTAGTAACGATGTTTGGTCAGCTGTTTATTTCTGACTTTTCTAGACTTTTTGGTACTGACTAGTGAGCTCGACAACTGAGATACCACTGGAAAATGTGGCCTCAGTGATTATGCGTAATGCACCGATTTACCACACACCTCGGATTGTGAGTTCGACGGTTGCCGGTCCGTTTAGTTGGTCTGCTCTAGTCAAAATTTAGGAAGTTTAAACATATTGATGAGCTGAGTGAATCCGTGGCAGCTAATTTCACTTCAATCGCTTCATAAAAAACTAGATGCTGCGTTCCCTCAAAAGTGTCAAATGCAGATGTTTCTGGCCAGTGAAAATGCTTTTTTTTGAAAATATCGATCCCTACTAAGGCGGTTCACTGCACTTCCAGTTGATTCCATCGTCATGTCCCACACTATACCCATAAAGTTCACGCTCTGCTTTCCCGCACATCAGCTGTGAGCTTTGCTTTGTCTTTTTCGTCGCTTAGTTTGGGTCAGAGGCAGTTGGTTTGCCTTGCACGTGCTCTCCTGCGCCGAACTCCTATCCTCGTCCTTGATGAAGCCACCGCAGCAGTCGACCCAGTCACTGACAGCCTGATCCAGAAAACAATTCGTACAGAGTTTGCCCACTGCACCGTGTTGACAATCGCTCATCGGTTGAATACTATAATGGACTATAACAGGTGAGTTATCGTCTCCAACCAATACACTAATGAATTAAAGTTGCTTTCATCCACAAGAGACGTATATTGAACGCAAACTGCTGATTCACTAGGTGAAAAACCGGCTGTGTTTGGTTATATGGTAGCCCTGGTTTGCCCTGCTTCTGAGCTGAATTGATGCGTCAGGAGTCCTTTAATTGATTACTCATCTCAAACGTTACCTTCCGGTCGTTTTCGTTTACCAGGATTATTCGAACCCACGTAATCATTGTCCATATTCCATTTCGATATGTTTATACACCGATTCCCCTGCCTTCCACGCTCTGATAGCCCGATGCGACTTTTCGATCCCGGTCCCTGTCAGGCCGGTTGTTATCACAAAACCACTGGGAGGTCCATCGGCATGTGACCATAGTTAACTCCACAGTGATGTATAATGTGGTAACTCGAAAGCCAGTCACCTCATTTCAGCCACAGGCCTGATCACGATCATTTCGCTTCTTTGTACTGACGGTAGGGAACGCGATTGTCGTGTTCATTGCTTTTGACGACTTGAAGTGCAAAACACTATTACTGGTTTGCTACGTAACAATCAGGTGGACTTGGTCAGAATGATAAGCGACTTGAATTAGACCCATCGACTGAAACAAACGTTGGCTTTGGTGTGGTATGCACGAAGTACTTTAATTCAAATGTATTTACTTCCTGGCCCGATGAATCATCACCGGACCTTCAATCAAGTGGTTACTACTGCTATTGTCTTTACTCGAAGCAATGTCAGAAGGTGAATGACACCAATAATAAGCAAGTTATTTATAGTAGCTACCAGAGACATTGTAGTACAGTTGAATCGCCAACAAAGAAGAAGGGGACTTTTCGAGTTCTTCGAAGATGCTGGGGTTTGCTGGACGCAGTTGTATTGAATGAGGGTCTTGACCAGGCGTGTTAAAATCTGGCCTGTTTCTTGTCTTTTAATCTAAACGATATCGAGCTCAGACATTTCCCGTACAGTGAGTTGTGCGTAGCTCTGATTTGCCTTAGGTCAAGGCGCTGTTCGAAGTGACGAGCGCCCGCTATGTTGGCGAGTTGCGTCAATGGGAATTTGTCGGTATCCGGCGCTAGGATGGATTGTACGTGTGTTGGAAAATGTTTAAGGAAAGTTGCTTATTGAATGAGGTCTTGACCAGGCGTGTTAAAATCTGGCTTGTTTCTTGTCTTTTAATCTAAACGATATCGAGCTCAGACATTTCCCGTACAGTGAGTTGTGCGTAGCTCTGATTTGCCTTAGGTCAAGGCGCTGTTCGAAGTGACGAGCGCCCGCTATGTTGGCGAGTTGCGTCAATGGGAATTTGTCGGTATCCGGCGCTAGGATGGATTGTACGTGTGTTGGAAAATGTTTAAGGAAAGTTGCTTGAATATGGCATCGTCTATTTCTTTTATTGCCCATTATACTGTAGAGGTGAAGCGAGAACTGAGATGGTGTGCAGCAATCTAGCGTCTCACCACCAACCAGCTGTCCGAGTCTTTTACTTTCCGAAAGCGTTGTACTGGCGATGATTGTCTCGCGAAATTGATTGTAGGGCTTGACGCTGTTTGGGGCCATCAGGATGCCACGCAGATCTGCCGCTATTTTCACTCGAAGTCCAGCTAACACATGATACTGTGTTCTTGAGTGGTACTTCGCAGAGCGAACTGTGCCTGCACCTGCGTAAACCGAATGCAAAGGTCATGGTGTCAGATGGGCCGAAGATGAATATAGGCGGCAGTGAGGCTGGGTGATAGTGCTGCTGCAGTTGAGGAAATAACCTGTGTTGAATAACTTGTGTCTGACATTGTAGGACTGATTTAATCGGACTCACCACTTTACAGTGCTGTTGTTTTTACTTTAACTAATGTCAGAAGGTGAATAACACTAATAATAAACAAGTTATGTATAGTGGCTACCAGGGACACTGCAGTACAAGGTCACGTAAGTACACAACCAGGTGGTGGCTTAAATCTCAACGCAGTCGTTCAGCCCAGCCTACCCGTGCTCGGCTGGGCGGCTGACGTGCATTTTTTAAATGGTGTAAGTGAGGCGTAAGCGAGTCTACTTAAATCCATGGCCATTGCCTTTAGCAGCCATTCCTCACTCGAATCAGTATGTCCCCTGGTTCGACTGCTTGCACGGAATGTCAACATTCAAACAAAGCTGGTTACCGTTTATCAGTCGGCTTTGATATGCTAAAAACACCGTCGATTACCTGTTTCTATTCGGACACTGACAGTTATCACGCTGTTTTTGAATCTCAGTAAACAAGATCACATCAGTGGAACGATCAAATATGGTGAGCGAGCCCACGCGATCGGTGGCGTGCAAAGAATCAGAAAGGCTTCTTGGTACATCCATTACCTATATCCCCTACCCGCGAAAAGGAAGGGCTATTGCCTGTGAATATTTGAAGCATAGAATTAGAAGTGGCTCCATACGCAGTTGAAAATATTTGTAACAATTGTCGGTCCTCATACTTACCAATCCGGGTGAGTTTAAACATCGACGACCCATGTGTATTTGGAACAGTAATTATCTTGTGGAAGAAGGCGATAGAATCGCGGCCGCAAACTTGAAAACTTCCTCCAGAATCCAAAAAGGAACTGCATTCTTTCTCCAAAAAGCGTGGGGTTTAATGCTGTCATTTACTTCTGCATCAGTTCACAAATCAACATGGAAAGAAGCGATACTGAATTCTGAGACCTTAGCAGTGATTTAAATGTCACTGATAACTTTTCCAATAATTTTTAGAACCATATGTGAAACTAACTAATTAGGTAGTGGTTAACAGTGAGTCAAAATATTGAAAACTCGAATGTGTTTACTAGTGTTTGATGAGGTGGCCGTTGATCGTTTCATTGAGCTTGGCAAGTAACTTCCAAATGTTGCGTCTCTGCTCAAAGGAATATCATCAGCATGCACTCATCTGCGCCCTGGTTGTCTCATCGATTGGAGACAAAGCGTTAGCAAGCTAACTGCCGAGCTGGGCGGAAAGCTTTACGGCCTTCTAATCAAACACAGATAAGCAGAGGTGGTGAAAATGCACAACGCCTAGGTAAGAATTGCTTGCAGGCCTATTTGCCTCAATTATAATCTTATCCGTAGAATTTGTTAAAACGACCACTAACTTGTTTTCTTCTTTACCCACCTCAAATGAGATCAGTGGCCACGAATTCATGACTTACAAAACCACAGTTTCAACTTCTCGGCTTTCTAGGTTTAAGAGCTCTTCTTTCTAGTGACTGTCTACAGAACATGCGGTAAAACTAATTCGAAGCAAACATTCCTCTAAATGGGCTGCTCGCTGTCAGTCCCGCAATCGTGATCCTCTTGAAGTGATTGCTCACACTGCTGGTAAATACGATCCCAGCAACCTTTCCGCGCGATGCATCCTGCAGCCTCCCCGGGAACAACAAGAACGGATAAAAGCATTATCATAAGTTATATTTTCTATTTATTTTAACCTATTGCTTTATGATGCTGTATACAGTGTTTAGCCCGTTTTAACCGTCCCCGTTAGTCGCTTTTGTAAAGAGGCTTCATATACCAGAAGATTTCTCATGCTCCAGATTAAAGGCACATATTTCAAATCCCATAAGAATAAATCTATTTTGATGGGAGGTCATTCATAACTGAGTCATCCGATTCGAAAGCTTCATAAAGTAAGGAAACCACCATCATTTTCCTGAGACCTCCATAATTTATTCCTTTTGTTCATACTACTTCTCAAGTAGCAAGTAGGCTACAAAGTCGGTAACAACTTCTCAAAATGCCTTTCCTTCGCAGGGTGCTTATCCTCCAAGAAGGGAAGATAATAGAGATCGGCGATCCGCGCGTACTACTGAGTGATTCCACATCGAAATTTTATTCTCTTGCCAAAGACGCACATCTAGTTGGTTAGCTTTTTCATCACCGCGTACTCCTCCCCACAATTTTTCTCCGAATATTCGTCCCAACTGTAGAGAAAACTTGTGGTATGTGCCGAGTAGGGATTGCAGTTGGCCTTCCAATGGATATCTTCGATATCTACATGGACTAATCGAGAATCAATTTTTTCGGATACCTGTTGGACAAAATTCACCGAAACTTCCGTCCGGACAACCTCTTTTCTCATTTTATTCGTTGCAATCATTTATAATCCTGATCAACCGACTTTCAGCCTGAATACTGCTGTTTGTTGAAATTTAAAATTGATTACCACATGTGATGTTGATATCATATTAGAGGTGATTCCGTTTTCCAAGGAAACATTGCGCTGAATTACGTTTGTGTCTATCTGTCTGTTTATGATGGGTTTGAGGTTTAAAGTGCTCCTTTTATTCCTAGTTCCCTCACCCAAATACAAACTTTGTGAAGATTTCGATCCTTTGTACAGTTTTAACTCGATATACCTGGGTGTTCAGTAAATTCTAGCAGAATTTGCTGCTTCGTGGTAGAATGCCCCTTTTCTTTTGCAAAAAATCACCGTGAATATAAGGTGAGGCCTCTTTTAATGAAAATGGCAAAGGTCATTGGCAGCCTTCGGAACCAGGGAGCCAATGTCAGATTTAACTGTACCGATTTTTTTGAACTCTTCATTTGCGAAACCAGTCGTGGTACAGTTTTGGAACAAGAGCTCTCTGGTAATATCGGTACCTCAGTGTCCGAACTGGTGGATTCATGTTACTGGATTAACTAGGCGGGTCTACCAGTTTCGACGGTCGATGCTTCCTTCGACCCACAGGTTTTAATACCTACCCTAAAATTGTCTTAAAAACGCGGTCACACACAGTTGCGACTGTCTGTGATTGAACTGGCATATTCCGGCTTCACTTCATATAGTGTAAATGATCGTTAATAACTGAACATATACCTGAGTGATTGCATTGCATCACTTGCACACAATTTGCTGTGCAACTGGAACGCAAGAGTGACATTAACCTAGTAATCACAGCTTCGCGGTAAACCCCAAGAATGGGGAAACCACCAATGGATTTTCAAATGTTTTCAGCAAACTTATAAGTAGTTTTGGGTTGTTTCACAAACAAACCTAAGATTTTGGGTGCTGATCACTAGGTCGACAGAACTGTACGCATGAAATTCAGGAAGGCACAGCCACAGACAGTCGTGTTGTGCAGCGAGGACGTCACTATCGTCCACAAATTCCTATCACTTTATCGTCACATTCTCTTAAACCCCCATAACTTGACAGGCCTTAACAACTTGACAAATTATGCAGGCAACAACGAAGTTTTAGAGGTGGCCTACATCTCTGCCGAATTTAGCCAAAGGTTGATGACTCATTATTTGCTCCATCTTAGCCCCGTGGGTGAAACTTAACCTGATAGACATCGTTGGATTGCCACTACCGATATGGTTCACAGAGCTTCTAATTTTACGAAATCGGACAATTAATTCAACCAATACCTCTGACGGAATTTGGTGTAGTGTGAAAGTTCTATGTGGTCGGCCTGAATGGTTTAGTCAAGATATTCCGTTGGTGAACCGACTTATAAGGAAGGTGACAAACTTGACATGTCATTTATATTGTTGCTGAAAACTCTTCGACTGCGCACGGCTGGTTTCACCCTTCTTATTAGATGAGCGCAGTCGTCAGATTTTCGAATGGACTCAAATTAATCTGGCGTCAAAGCCGAATTAGATTGCGAATGAGGGTATTTGAGGATGAAAAACGTTTTTGGCAGCTGCGAATACTAAACTTATACTGCAACAATTGTCATACATGAAATCATCAGTTTATATCCAACTCCGGCTTGTTGCTGTGCTTGTCCAGACTCGCGCGACCTCAGTATCACAGCCCCATTGTTTCAGTTAGATAAGCTGTAGGGTTTACCTCTATTTTGGACTCTCTAACAGATGACATAAGCCTTTGACTGGGCTTTACGGAATGCGCCCACTGAATGCTGATTAGACAGGTCGTGGCACAATACTTGGTAAACAACGTATAAATTCTCGGTTCGGTTTGACGTAAAACGCAAATAAATTTAAGAGAGCGAGGACATTTGTCCTTCACATTGTTCTCAGTTTCTTTGCTAGTTAATCCTTTTACGGAACTAATAAGGTAACAACTTAACTAGTTACTTGCGGTGGTCGCTGTTTGATACGGACATCCAAAATTCACATGGATCTCTGATCGCGCAAGTTGGTTTCACTAGGATATAAGCACTCCTATTAATTTTACACGGTCTGACTTGGAGAAATTATATGCACTGAAGAGTCTCAACAGATTTCAGACGCTGTTTCACCGAAGTAGACTAGACTTATTCGTTTTGGACAAACCGTGTCCGAGTACAGATGTGGAATCGTATGAACTTGGACTATCTCATTGGTTTATGCACGTACTTACTGACCGGCATCTCGACTGCACCTGTCTGGACTTGGGCAACCTGGCAGAATCTCAACCTTTCGAGCTTCCTTTCGGTGGAACGCCAGCCACACACCGGAAATGTGCTATAGCTGAACGAGTGCATGTTATCAGAACCGTGTGATTTTTTTATCAAGTAATTCATGGCGAGTAATAGTCATGTGACCAAGAGGGCAGTACAACAACACTTTGGGTACAATAACACTTTAGTTAAAAAGCAATGAAAAACTCCAAGCAACACAAATAGGTCTAGCCAGAGTGTTGGAAATTTTAGTTTTGTGATTACGCAATTTTCTGGTCGTTTTATCTGTTCTTCCGGATAAAAAATGCAATTATATTTNAGCGGTGCCCGCGGAGATAGGAATCCTTAAGCCTCTTCTGAAAGTGTTGTAAAGGTCCATCATCATCTGCAAAAGGCGTGAGGTCTTGGAGGAAGTTTTCAAATGTAACACTTGTTCTTCACTGAATTTGTCTTTGGGAACGCATATGACTCAACTCATATGTAACAGCTCTACTTTTAGGTATGAATCTCAGTTGCACGGTAACACACTGTTTGTGTTACTTGATGACATGAACAGCGTCTAGTTAACCTCTACAGTGTTTTCATGCCTCTGATGAATACCACCCTTCGGAATTTCTATGCAAATTCAACTTCATCTTGGTGTAGTTGGTGTCTTTGTTCTAAAATCGACGAGTGACATAAACCTGTACGAATGCCCTTGAGAATGGTTGCCATCGTAGAGTCTGAGTAATCCCGAGGTTACTCTGTCTATATTTAACGACACCGTTTTGCTCAGCTGTCTGGCCATTTCATCCTAAATTGACTTCGGTATTGCGATGGCAGCAACCATTCCACCATTCCATTTCGAATTACAAGTGCTCTCTTTTCTCACGCATGAGGATGTACGATAGTCAGGGACTCATCCTTCTGTGGCTTGCACCCGTGCAGCTGAACCGCGTGCTTCAGAGTGCACTGGTTATTGGCTCTTCTTGGTGACGCGACACAGACATGCCAAGCTGGATCAGACAGTATATTGATTTAACAACGATTGTGGACTGGTAATCAAGCCCGACGATATACGTTTCCCCAACCGAACGTTATATAGTTTTTGATGGGCTGCACGCGTAGGTAGGTAGCGATGCTGGTCAATCAGCAGAAAGTCTTTGAACCTTTCGGACTGCCTCACATAGAGTCCGCTGTAGCGCGAAAAAGAAGATCTTCGTAGTGGTTGCCACCATGGCAATCGGAATAGATGTTACTGGGGTAGATTGTAACACTCCGGGCTGTTTTCACTCGATATGTGGAACTGGTGGTGCCCGATTAAAACTTTGTATTTATCAGCAGTCATACTAGGATCAGCCTAGTCAGACTGTTTATCATTTATAATCAAACTGACTTCAGAGAATAAGACTGGAAATGAATTTAAAAAGAGGATGAAGCAGGGTTAACGATCAATGATGTTCTTTCCTTCACAAGCGGCCACTCACAATATTAGGGTGTCAGCGATCAACTCGAGCTCAGACTGCAATTCAATCCCCATTGTTTTGCTTCACGAGTTCTAACCAAAACCTATGCAGAAAACAGACCTCTAATCAATTGTTCTGTGCCATTAAACAGGCAAATAAATATGACCACGCGCATTAGGTCGTTTCAGATGGTTTTTGTAGGCAATCAGTGGTTTAAGGAAAACCCTTCCGAGACGATTACTTCTCATTCTATTCCAAAATTCTTCCAAGACAGAGAGCTTTTCAACAGCCGGTCTTTGGGTATTCTGTCTGTGTTATCGGCTCCTATGCAATTTCCGGCGCTATCACTACTTTCTGACCAATTGGCCTGGGAGATGTGCAGTTTCACCACAGACTGCGCCGTCGTACCTCACTTGACTTGCTTATACAAAATAAGTTTTTTTGATAATTTTCAGTGGACAGCATGAATGCGCCACTTATGTATCTCATAGCCTTCTACCCAAACTAACTCAGCACTATAGTGTTTTAAACATTTACCTACGTGAACCGAAAAATTGCTTTTCAAACTTCTGAAGTTTCTTTTTTTCGCACTTGACCAAAATAGGCATGATTAAACGTTTGGGGGTGCATAACTCACAACAGAACAACCGTAATTTCGTATGTTTAAGACGGTATATAGGATGCTTTTCTCTTGGTATCTGGTGTTGACTCACTCTTCACAACCCTGTGAGGACGATTAGTGTTTTTTTGAAAATACATAGATCCTCAAACTATAATCGTTCTTTTCATAAAAGAAACTACTCACAAGGTTGCTGAAAACTCTTCGACAGCCCTCGACCAGTTTCGCCTTTCTTGGGGCTCATCGGGTAGGCGCAGTTCCCGAGTTTCCGTCAAACTTATGTTCCATTGAATGGTTCTCTTTCAGTTCAAATCTTTGTAAATTTATTCCTTATTGTTTTATATGCGTCGAGCCACAGGTTGCAAGAAATGTGATAGCATTCAACGAATCGCTTCTTAGGCATAGCCCCAGCGGACCTTATCAGGACGCAAAATGTGGTGAAGAAAATTTGGCACGAGTCAACTTTTTCCATGGGTGTGGTGATCTGTGCCCGACGACAAATATTATGGTTTGGACGACCGTGTTTCAGGTCATGCCTCGAATCTACACTGTATCTTTTAACCGAAGTGCCATCCGGTTGGCGCTGCATCTTCCCAAGCCTAGCTGGGTCGGGTGAGTGACACCTACTAAACCAAAGCACGAACTCCTGATTGACTATAGCACTTGAATGCAATCTACTCATTGGTCCACTAGAATCCTCTCACATTCTTCCAGCCAGTCCGAAATGCTGGGGTGTGTATCGATGGATCAAGAAGGCAGCGCGCTTATCTCACTTCTGGAAGGTGTCGGGTTTGATGCAGCTGTTTTCACAAACCCACAGCTGATTGTGAAACGTCTAGCAACTGGATTAGTTGTCTGCAAATTTTGATGCGTCTCAGTATACAGAAACAAACGCTGAAGAACCTTTGCAAATTGAGAAAATGTTGAATATGACAATTTGTCAGGTAACTGCTACGATTGTGTGCGTATAAGGAGGGAAAATCTGAGCAAATGAATCAGTCGATTAGCCATAGGAGGGGTTTTCCAGATTCATGTTGGGTTGAAAATCTTGCATGGTAACAGAATATACAATCCGTTGGATGAATATGAAGTTCTTGTTCACGCTCTTTGGCAATATAAAGCTGGCGACACGTTTAGATTCTCAGTAGGTGAGCTAATGGTATTCAGCAGATCGTGAAACCCTTCTCTTGGATCAGTTGATTTCACAGACTCCCTCTGGTCTCGTTCG